CTTTGCAAACCCGAGTCGAGCCTCTCTGTGGCGATCGGTGATTCGTGGCACCTTCTCCACTGCTTGCCTGGTGATGTTCTCGCATCTTCTCACTGCTCTCCAGACTGTAGTTTTCGACACAGAGAGATTTAATTCCGATCGGATCTGGTTCAAGGAGGAGGTACTGTTGGAAACAGTCCTCAGAATTTTCGCTCGTCACGGGTAGTAATCTTTCATGGGTGTCCACAGTCGGTGTTATATCTAACGACATGAGGACTCTCTAGAAATTTCCGAATGGGCCAAGGGGATCTCTCTATTTGCCTGGAAATGGCTCGAGTTCGGAGCCCACCTTCATGATGAGCCTTCCCATCAGAGGAAAGCAGATGACCACGAGCCATGTTGACAGTCAGGTTTAGAAATGCATTTGCTACACATGCTTACCTTTACAAGTATCTTCAAACACGAACTTTCCTCTCTTCCATAGATAATTGTTCACTTTCTCGGGGTGACCTTATAATTATGAAACGGTGCAAAAACCGATAAACTGTTCTAAAAAAGTTCAGGAAAATGCAGCTGCGGCTAGAAAGCGGATACCTAGGTTATTCGTGCTGGGGAATCCGTTCATGATGCTAGAAAAAATCTTTAACGATTGCTTTTCTTGAAAGTGCAAAATTTGAGGGTGACCTTATAATTACGAAACGCACTGTACTTGTCAAGGAAAAAAGAAGTTCGCCCTGAAAAAATATTTTGATGCCACCTAAAAGATGTGCAATGATCTGTATTCCTGGTATACAAGTTGAATGCATAAACTCGTCGATGACCCCCATACTCCTCCCACCTTGTTTACTCGCCATATTCCCTACAACAAGCGCCCACGACAAGTTACTGCGCCACATTTGCAGAACAACTGTCGATGACGAGGGCGATCGGGATCCAACGCATCAGGCGAATAACCGTAATTCCAGCAGAGTTCCTAAATATGTCAATATCAATTTCATAACACTGCCACAGCTTTTGTAATATTTGAATGGTGGAACTGCTCTCCGAGTTCCCACGGAAAGTGGCGGTGGATACGTGGCGGTTACAGTATCCTTCCACTTAGAACTTAGACCCTTCCCTTGATGCGCGCGACCGCGAGCGATCGGGTGCAGCGAGCACGATTTTCGGGAGGAAGTACCCACACACCTCCTTTTGTAATATTTCGTTACTCCAGCACTCCCTTCAACATATATTATACAAACGTCACTTTGGAAGCAACTTGAAATCATCTTCTCGATGATGATGATGATGATCTCCTTGCCATCGGAGAAATAACGCGCAGCACCCTACTTCCCCTGTACAAAATGTTAATGCTCAGCAAAGGATGGCAAAGAAAGGCGTCAACAAGCAGCAAAAAACAGACGTGAGAAAGAACTGTAGAGAAATGTACTCCTAATTCCTTACATAGAGTAATGCACTGTAGCCACACTGACTAATACAGCCACGAAAGAACCTAGAGCCTAATAAAAATTGCCTCACCTCTCCAGCTTTGATATTCCGAATGGCAAAGAATGATGACCAAGGTAAGCGTAGATCGTGAGTATCCACAAATACGTGCTGCACTTGAACATTCGGATCACATGAGTGATTCAGAAACCTAAACGAGGGAAATTCCATGTCGAAGAAATATCCTCAAGTAAAACAGAAAAATCAGCATGAATATTTGCCGAAAATTCAAGTACCCAGGAGTCAAAAACCCATTTTCCTGGGTTTTTGAAAATAATCTGAGGTGGGGCAACACCTCCACCTACCTTCCAACATTGCCTTTCTTCTTCGCGTCCACCACAAATAATGTGTTGTTCTCACCAAAATAATCGGCCCATTTGAACATTGTGTCATCACCAACTGCCGCCGCCGCATCGACTGTAACAATTAGCATTATGTACTCCTCATTTCCAGGAAAAAACTTATTTTTAATGATATTGCACTTCAATACCAATCGAACTAATAAAGACGGATTGCGGATGAACAAAAAGCTTCCTCAAGCGCAAGTTGAGATCATTTCCTATTTCTATTTCTTAGAGATGATTATATCGAATTATTTTTCAAATTAAACGTTCATCCTTGTAAGCTCATGGATGCATACATGTCTTGAACAAGGATCTGTATGCATTACTTGTGTTCAAAATTCCGACAGATTCGATATTAATTAGACAGTACTGGAAGAGGTGAAGATCAAAAAGGATGGTTAATGATTGACTCAGATCTTCGAAGAACTACATGGAAAGTCTTCGAAAAATTACTCAGTATGAACAAGCTAGTATAAAAAGTCTTACTTTTTTCTAATTCGGCTGCATTAAGCTTCTTTCTGCGCCTATTCAATTCATCCGCCTCTTCCTTACGTTTCTTTTTACTGCGTTTTGTTTTTGGCCCCTCGTCTTCACTTGAAGACGATGACGACGATGACGATGCCTCCGAACTACAAACATTTAGAAATGAATCACCTTGATGATAACCGAAGAACTAAATACAAGTTTCAATGAAAAAACAAACTCTTGAAGTAAAGAGCTGGGAGCTGAAAAAATAAGGATGCAAAAAAACAAAATAAAGAAAAGTTGTGACCGATCCATGAGAAACGAGAATATTTCTGCCTTCTTTTTAATCAAAAAATGCACTGGTTTACACAATATAATTAAAAATTTTGTAACATTGAACACATTTACAGCAAATATTTTGAAAGGTGCTTCCACTATATGAAAAGAAATTAGGAACCTAAAATAAGAGATCCAAACCATACCCAATTCCGTCATCTTCCGCGTGTTTCTTTGACTTCACTTGTTCCTCCTCTTCATCCGAACTACCCAATCCCATGTCCAGATAACCGCATTTCTCAAGAGTTGTCGCCTTCTCGTTTTCAACCTGAATGAATTTTTCACCTTAGGGGCACACCGAAGATTATTTATAGTCTAGCATCCGGATTAAGTTGAATTTTTGAAAGCTAGTAGCAATTTCATTTTTGTAATTATTGACTTACGGCGTCATTAAGATCCAAATCAGCAAAGTATTCGTCCTCTCCGTGAAGCGCATCAGCAATGCTGTCCGTCAGAAGAGCTCCCACATAATTAGCAATGAATGCACCTGCTGGGATATCGCACAGCGCTCGAACACCCCAACCACTTTGAGCAGTTTTGTAAATCTACAACAAAATTTCTCTAGTTCTTAGTACGATGGAAAAAAGTGAAATATAGGGAATGAAAGCGACTAAAATGGTAATCAAAACTCAACAGAAACACAAGAGGACATACTTGGATCGGATACTTGATGGGCTGTTGCACGACACGATTGTAGCATCGCTTCTGTTGACAACCGCAATTGTCATTACACTCAAATACACCAGTGATTGTCTTGCCAAGCAGAGTACGGTAGCTATAGCTGTAAATAAATCACGGTATTTCAAAGCCAAATTGCCTTCGGAAGAAATGAGTAGTGTGCGAAAGGCAAGTTGAAGGTCAACTTTGAGTACTTCACCCCTTTCCGTGGGTTTAGTCTATATGTAGCTCTCTATTTAATCAAAGAGGAAGGTAGGACAGGCTAATACCGCCTACACAGTTGCAGTGCGCCCAATAAATCCCCCCCCCCCCACCTTTTGGAATCCGTATGCACCTTATTCTGTGAGCTCCTTGGTCGGAATTCATGCTCGATTATAGCAAAACAGGAAATTGAAAATGGAGTCTGTAAGGTAATCATTTCAAATAATAGGTGTAAATCATAGATACAAATAACTCGAGTAGACCAATCGTGTACATGGCTAGAAGTTGCTAGGAAGCGTACATAAATGAAAGACACTCCATGAGCTTCGTTTATCGACAAGTGTTTCATGAGAAATTAATAAAGGATATAGTTGGCTTAGAGGAAAAAGTAAAGAGTGTGATCGAATCAAGACCCTTGGTGAACTTGTAGCACTGTAAGGAAGCAATGCAACTGCAGAATTCAGCATGAACGAAGGTAATGTATAGACTCCATCAAAACTTTTGATCGCTATATACTTGACCATTTTAGGGTAATGGTTAAAGAACAACCCTATATCAAAAATGATCAAATAAAAAAGCCATACGGACAACTCGACTTTTTAGAAATTGCAGAAAAAGTAGTCTAAAACTCCCATAATCAAGTGTAGTGATAGATCAAAACAAAAGTCACATACCCATATTCGCCAACAGAAGGACGAAAGCTCCTCGCGAGTCGTTGCACATTTGAAACCGTCAGCTGTTGGCATTCACACTTTGACGGGTCCGAACAATCATCTAAATGACTTTTCTTAGGTTTCAAAGATGATTTGAAGTGTCATTTTGCAAACGGCAAATAGACTGCTGAAACTAATAGTTATGCCGTCCCTCCAGTATAATGACTCTAAAAATATCAATTTTCAAAATGTCAAAACTTGATAGGATTATGACACTCAGGAATAACTAACCAGTGCAAGAGCATCCCGAGCAGAAGTCTCTCGATATCGTCTTCACATCCACTTGATGATTATAGGGGAATCGTCGTGCACAGTAGGACATCTGAACTCTTTTCCTTTCAAGCTTTTCACAGGAAAGTTCAAAGTCAAGGTAAGCAAAAGAGCTTGAGAAGTGAAGGTTACCTTTGGTGGATCTTCGTCATCGACCGTATTCACCGCTGGAATAGGCAAATTCTCTAAACCAAGGGTAAAATCAGCCGTTTTGACGGAGGACTCCGCAACCTGAATGACATCAGCTGGATCACTACATTCGATCTTGAGTTAGGGTTTTTAGAACCATGATGATATTCCCAACACTATCGTTTCAAAGCGAGGGCAAGCGAAGTCTCTTAGTGTAAGGAATAGAGCACGGTGCCCGGAAATCACAAGGGAGTCCCGTCCGAGACTGAAGTTTTGTCCATAAATCCCAACCTTGTGAGACTATCATTTCAAATTCGATTTCAGCGAATGAACTTGCATGGTACTAGGTGAAGTTGCAATCTTATCAAGAGCACAAGGATCGAATTCCAGATCTACTGAGCCACGCTGCCGAGGCCTGAGGTGCATCTATGGAGAATCACAATTATTTTTTGGGCCAAGAGTTCTATATTGCACGCCATCATTTAGTGATAGCAAGGATTCCAAACGCTCGAATCCAATGCCTTCAACTTATTACTAGTATGCATTAATAGAGACCCAAAAAAGAGTCGAATCGTAACCTACATGAACGAAGTTTTTTGTTTCTATCACTGGATCGAAGCAGAACAGGTCAATCGTCAATTCGCTGCCTACTTCCTTAAACAACTTGCTTTCAGAAATTTCGTGAAGAAAATGCAAGTTTACTAATAAGTAGAAGTTTCGAACGTGAATAGATGAATACTCTGAACCAGCCGCCTCTAGCAATTAAGTGATATGACCGATAGCCGGAGAAGGTCTTACCTTGAGATAAGCAGCCACGCACTTCTTTGAGATCAATGATCGTCCACAAGGTGCACGATACATGATTCGTCCATCGCTCGCACGCCGTACTGAGCTTTCATGCATATACAGCTTCAAAATGATATTTGCAGTAAGACAGATTATCAAAAGTGGACAAGTACAAAAGTAGAAGAGATCTAAAATGAGTCAAAAGTGGCCGCGAGGCTCTAGCCTACACCAACACAAACGCTTCGAGATTCATTCCTTCAGAATCGAATTGCACTACTCCTCCTTTACCCCTAACTGAATTTTTAGGATGAACTGATCGAGAACTACTGAGATAAAAAAAACACCGTCTGACTCTAGTTAGCAGTAAACTGCGATCTAACAATCTATTCGGCTTTATTGAAGGCACTTCCTTTCTTCCAGTATTACAAAATAGAGTTTTGAAGTTCCAACGACCACAGCGTAACTACCTTATGTTTGACCTCAATTCTGATTGTTTCACTCACCACACGTCGCCAACCACACAAGATCGGAATGTGCAACGGTGAACATTTGTAGAACTGCGGATCGCATGGATCGCGTTCCAATCCTCCCAAGCAGACTGGTGAGCACTCCGTGTGGTATTGCCAAGTGACATGAGGCGGTGATTGACTACAAGGTAGCACTTCGAACTAAACAGTAAAGCATATTTTTCAGATATACTCGAAACTTCGAACATATTCAGAGCATGAACAGCGCCCATAGTAGCTTCGCACACACCTCGTTCATGTCTTTTGCAAAAAGAAGTCTTTCAAGAAGAGCATGTAGTTCTCCCAAAATCATCATATAACTGCGTAGCGTTTCTTGTGCTCACAACGAAGCAACATGGACGGTATTCTTGCTATACAATTCTCAAGAAAAATTCAAGCAAAATAAGAAACCTGAGCTTCCTTCTTCAATCGAATGGCTAGGGTCTGTGGATCCATCTCATAGTTGAGCGCTTCTTCTGGCCCTCCGTCAACTCTGACCGGTAACGATGATTTTCTGGCCTAAAGTGCGAACCATTCGATGAATTCAAAAAGAAATGGTCGTAATGGAAATATCATAAAAGATGTATATCATGCATAAGTATATTGCTAGCTTCAGTGACTTACAGTAGTCGACGAGGTCTTGAGCCTATCGAGGCACGGTCCTGGTTGAACAACATCGAACTGGGAGCGATTTTTCGCCATGCGTCTTGCCGACATATTGTTACTACCGAAGTGCTCTAGATTCTGTAATGAACCCTATTTGAACTCATAAACTAATCTAACCTATTTACACTGCTTTCCTCAACTGAATCAGCTCCCTAAGGCGATCATCCGGGAACGTGGGCATCGATGATGCAACGTTCTAGCCAAAATTAAACTCCTCAAAACTTTCATTTCATGTCATGAACCTTAGAGTGGAAAGAGTTTTTCAGTAAACTCTCGTCTCTGTTGCTGAAACGCCTCTTCCTCTTTGAAATCCAAGGGCCGTTATTTGAGTAGACTTCTACCCTTTTATAATTGGAGGTGCTTCCAAAATTTGCCTTTGGTAACTTTAGGGATACGACCTTTCTTTACCCAGAAGGCTAGATACAGAGTTCGCCATGAAAGGATCTCCCAGCATTTATGCCTCTCGAGTAACAACTTAATGCCCAATTTATGTTCCATCTAGCATATCGCACACAATCACTCACCACTGCATGAATCCTTGAAGAACCCCTGAAGATAGTCTCATCAACATGGGCATGCCCACGTTCGGTACACGGGTACTCGAAGCAGTTCGCTCCAGCCAGAGATCCACTCCGAGGAGGAAACCGCAAAACACAGAGTGCCCTATCCGTGGCGACAACATAGGCTGTGACGCGATCCTGGTTGCGATCATAAGCCTAAAAATATAAGTTCATCAACCGTTGTTAAATACCAAACCAATGAATTCACCAACCACAACAGCCTGGGCAGGTCTCTCTGGAGGCGACGGTTTTTTCATTCTTACTAGCGGCCAATCTGGATATTTCTCAAAATATTTCTGGATGAATCGTCTCCGCTCTGGATTCTGCCTAATCAGCTGGTATACTCCGCCTTTGTTGATCTAGAAAGAAAAGATTCGCAAAAATGCTCTCATGGACTTACTAGTGTAAAAAAGCCATTCACTGCTTTCTTCTAGTCTAACCCACACCCTGAATGTATCATTTCGTAAAAAATGTCATTTGTAAATAAAAAACAACCGGAGACAGTTCTTTCCTCAATAGTAACTAGAAAATCTAATCTCTAAACACCCCTTGAACCCATGCAAAAGTAAAAAAATATTTGCCAACTAAGAGCTTAAAACTTACATCGATACCATTCGAAGCTAGTGACTGCCTCGCTAACGGGAGTATCTTCAAAAGACGAATCTTCTCGCGAAACAGTTGCACGCGGTCTCCGGTCAACTATAACGAAAGCATGGCTGGGTCCAATACAAAAATTAATTGCCAATTAACAAACCGAAGAAGCTTTCATGGCATCGCTATCGCAAGAATCGAAAGCCGCCTGTACATACTGTTCAAAGCCATCATCGAAGAAAATCTAAATTTTGTAAGTTCGATTAATCGAAAGGGTGAGCAGTTTCGAAAACGAATAATAACAAAAATAAGATAACGAGATGAGGAACAAGGGAGGTAAGCGATGTCAAGCCCCGAACGTAAGATGAAAAACAGAAAAAGGATAGAACTGCCCAGTAAAACAGAAAAAATCAACTACAGAAAACACGAGTCAAGGAAATGCCTCACCAAAAACTCTCTATTGTGAGCAGTGTTCGGGAGAGTGCCAATAGTTCCAGTGCTCCATACCGGCTGATTCATGAAGTATGAACTAGTCACCAAAGCAGCAACTCTCAAGCCTGGAAAATTACAAAGAAACACTAAACAGTGGTAATGTTAGTATGTACCATTGTGACTAATTGCAAGGTTGCCCACCTGAAGAAATGCGTATGAGAGCAAACCCAAACAGCTAAAAAAGCTCAGGTCTCAGCTTGATTCCGGAATTTTTACGTTAAAAATGTTGAATCACTCGTAACAAAAAGAGAATTTATTCAAGGTCAGCCGGGCATGCTAAATTTCCTTTAAAATGAAAGGAGGCCTGACGTAAAGCGACCGGAGTGATTTTAGTGCAACATAATTAGTTGACCACTATGGAGTCAGACTGGGAATTTCAATTTTAAAGGCTTCTGACGTCCTATAAAACCTCGTCAAACCAAAACGTACCTATATAATTGGTTCTTTTTATATCCGGATCATACATAGGCACATCAGAGACAGCTATATCGCCAGATTCAACCTCTTCAATAGTACCATTGTCGACAAGTCTCACTTGGTAACTCATATTGGACAACTGAAAGAGCAGAATTGTTAACTTTGGTANCACTGGGACCATTGACCATCTCGTCATTTAGCATATCTCTGGACATTAAATCTGCTACGCATTCCTGTACTATACAGATATCATATACCGTGTAGAGACCCTGATGAAATCTCCGCAGCATTTCCACTACGTGTGGAAGCATGGCGCATCCCAGCACCGATGACGTTACAAGTTCGACCTTTTATGGTAAAAAAAATAAATGTGACCTTATAAAAAAGCGTACCCGACACAAAACCTGTCCAACTACCATAACTGGCACTTCATCGGTTTTAGCCAAACAGTAGTCTCCATGGACCAATACTAATCTGACAACAAAACTTGATGCAGAAAAGGATTTCGAAGTGGGGTAACAGACTATGAATTCGATCAATTATGGACATCTGGATCGAAAAGGGACAAACAGAGAAAGGAGCACTCGAAACTAACCTGGCAGCCAACCCTTCAGCAGGAGGAGCTGGCCATTCACTTGGTTTCTTCACAGCTTGTATACGAGCACGTATCTCGTCAGTTTCACGATCTATCTAAAATACAGGGAGATATTTTTGCCAAATGCGAGATATATAATCAAATCGCTGATTGGTTCATTATGGAAGCCAAATAATCGATAATGTTCAAGCTATAGCAGCCGGAATTTTATGAACTATCGATAAGAAAAAACAGTGCAAAGAGTATTTAGGTTTGTATTGTGACCAACTTTGCAAACATGAAAAGATGATCAGCCTTAATTGAGGGGAAAATGTTGACTACCCAGAATACTTTCACTTTTCGACATATTTAGTTATTTAAAGAGACCAAGTGCTGAATGAGCTTACCTTTGCCAACTCCTCTTCTGTAAGCGATGGCCTATCACGGAGGTTAGGCGGTATAAGGTTGTTTATCGCTTCTCGACGTTCATTAACCACTGCATCGTGCTTTTCAGCCTGAAGTTCTCGGCTCAACATAAAGCTAGATGATAGGAAGTAAGTTTCAACATCTTTTATGTGTTTTTGGACAAGTTGCAGAACAAAAACGGAAAAGGGCATCGAACGGCATCGTTCAGGATATGCTCTGATGCTATTAAAGCAGAAACGCGAGACTTTTTACCCGAAATCGAACACTGTTATCCTGAAGATCAAAACCTTGATAAAAGTTTCACGCTTACCAATGCAGTCGCGCCCATGGCCGTGATGAGCTCTTGCATTTCACTTTGAACTTTGTCCGCAGTGGTCAACAAAGCTTTGAGTTGATTTTCAATTACTGCACACTGCCTGAACCGATAATCTGCTGATAAACTTCAATTCGATACCACTGGCATCTGCATAGGCAGGCTGAATCATCAGTACTTTTAGCTATACTATCCTATACTTACTTCATATGATCACTTGGTTGGAAACCAGACAGCGACGGATTCATGATGAAAGCCTTTGCAGCGTTCCATTGCCGTTGTGCCTCATCTCGTACGAGTTTGTCGAACTCGTTCTGCTCTTCTTCGGTCCACGTCTTGTTTGCGTATTTAATTGCACTCCAATCACAAGCATACGGCCACCCGCTCACCTGTCAAAGGAGACCAGTTAATTATAAGACTACAAACCTCCTTTCCAATATGTCAACCTACCTCACAGTAAGCCATTGTAAGAGCTAGACAACAGTCTATGGGACTACAGTACGTTTCCTGGAAATGAGATTCTGTCAAATACAATGAATCTGTAGTCGACATGCATTGATGCAAAAAAAGCTCGTAGATAGAAATTACCATAATCAAGCATTTAGGTGTCTTCTGATCGTCATTGCCGCCAGCCAAGAATTTTTTCACCATGTGATAAGCACCTCTATCAAGCTGCAGTGCTTCGCACAGAATTTCGAATTTGACATTTCGACTGTTACTCTCTAGAACGACCGAAAAACAATTAACTCAATCCGTAGTCATAGGCTCAATGAGGAAGTAACCCGGGCAGACTACAGTAACGCGGTCAAGTAAAGACAGCGCGAAGGGTGGGTGAGCAAAATGGGACGAAAGAAAGAGTTCCGAAAATCGACCAGTGAGCGTCCCCACGGACTTTTTAAGGGAACACCGTTAGCATGACAAACACCATTCCGAGTTGCTTGCTGGTGAAGGTTCGAAAGAGAAGTTTTCAATCTCAAACAAAAAAGCTACATAAAAACAGCAAAATCAATGATAACCTGAGAATCCAGGGCTACGCGCATTAAAATGATCGCCTGAGAAAAAACTATTGACAAGCATTGACAGAGACAGCTTTCGAAATCATGCACTTCGACGCTAATGTACTTACCGTCCATGATCGAGCAGAGTATAACAAGAATCAGCTGCTCTCGAGTCATATTGAATTCTCCTTCGAAATTGATGTCACCCTTTGCTTCAAATCGATCGGCAACATTCTTCATCTGATGAGGATCAAAGCACGGCTTATTCCGGCGCTGAAAAGCAAAGAAGCTTGTTACAGCACCATCCCTCCATAGGCGAGATTGAATAAACTAACAAAAAAGCCATAATCCACCTTTTGCATGAAATCTTTCGGAATCACTACTTCGTAGTTGGCTAGATCCTCTGCATCCAAATAGGTAAACCAGCTAAAACATTAAAATATTGACAAGTATTTCTCCATTGATTTTTTCATAATCACAAAACTCACTCAAGTAATTCTTCGCATCGTCTTTTGATGACATTAATCTCTTCATCACTTAATATATCCCATTGAGCAGATGGATCATGAATAGCAGAGATCATGTTTTCGGCGGCCAGCAAGCCCAACTCGGACTACAAAAATTATCGAGCTATAAACTACGAAAAAAGGAAGCAAGAGACCGTAGAATTGCCTTATTTCGAGAGCTATCAGAAAAAATTGATTTTGAATAGCAAGAATATTAAAAATCGGTATTGAATCGGAAGGACGGAGGTGGTGTAGTGGCAAATGACGCACTCCATCACACGCATGGGCACAGGTTCGAATCCGGATCGCTGCCCGCCTAGGCAAACCAAGCCTTCCATCCCTCTGGGGTCGGTTAATTGGTACCAAACTTGTATGGGAGAATGAAGGCATGACTTGTCCATGGACTGTCCACCGCAAGTCATTGCATAAGCCACATACGCATTCAATACGCCGCTACGATTCCGAATGGAAGTCGAGTGCGTGGGCGCATCCCTCAGACAGGATTGATCAACACCACTAGACTTTCTCCTTTTATTGAATCGGATAAGAGTAACCGACCTTACTAATGCTTTGAGACGGTTCTTAGCCAAAGATATATAGTTCTTACCTGAGCCTCAGGAGAGGGGGAGCATATGGGTGGACGAAATGATCAACTCGTGCGAAAAGCTGGGATGGGGTAATATTCGAACAAGTTGAACTTTGAATTGCTCGTCTACGGTGCTTCTTCCCTCCTAGGGCTCAAAAGAAAGAAACCGTATTTTTCAGCTGAGAAGCATTGCTAAGCACTATTACTGGCTGCTAAAGTCGGCTATTTCTTCTTCACTGGCTCCAACGTCCCATGTTGGAGGAGCCCCGATTATATTTCACAGAAAATGGAATCAGATCACAAAAGGTTAGAAAAGGTAATGAAGAAAGAGCTAATCTGCCAAAAGAAGCTGATATCTTGCCAAGAAAATCTTCGAATTGTATGTGGGAAAAGAGGTAAACTTCAAGCAAATAGAACATAGGCTAAGATTGCACAAATAATCACAAAACAAACAAATGCCAAATACGAATGTTTGAAAACATTACAGTGGAAATGGATTCAAATCGGGTCTCAGTTCACAATTGCTGTTTGAAAGAAACCTGATAACTGGTTCCTATAAATGCAAAGCTTGTTGGGTGAAAAACTCACAAGTGATCTTCCTCCTTCGGTTGGCTTCGGCACTTCTTCACCCATCGTTTTAATGAGGAACTAGCCTGAAATACTCGGATGACAGCCTGAGAATCACATTAATAACAAATCGCTTTGCAAAGAATTAATTGCCAAGATTTGAATCATGAGCGCGTTACTTAACGCGCGTTGTCCGCAAGTCTCTTATCTTACGTCTAAAATCTGATCGCATCCGTCGAGAAATCAGACGAAGGAAATAAGGCGCAGATAGCTCGCCTACATTAGTAAGATAACTATTCTGTAAAATAGTTTGACTCCCGAATCCAAGTGGGTATTTCTCTTTGATTGTAGGAGTCACTAGGAATCGCCATATCATCATGGGGAACATGGACGTCTGGTCACTACTTCATAAGTCTACAACTGAAAAAAGATAAGTTATGCGAGGCAGCTATACAGTTTTACACAGTAGCCTTCTAGTTTTTGCAGACCATCTGTTGGGGGAGCAAAGGCCATTGTCTTCCAACGGTGTGGGTGGGGTGCCACCCAGTACAGTTCGTTCACGACCTTTTGTAAAGTTGGTGGTTGTTGAGTAGATGATCTGCTTCTGCCTCTATTTTCCCTTCCCAGGTTGTGACGAGGCCATAGACAGGACATTTAGCCCCATAAAAGGGCTTGTACTACTTATAATGGTGGTAATTCTAGAGTTGCACTCTAGTGCATACACATTCTACGACGATTATGTCCCGAGGGTAATAAATATAACTGGATTTAACTGAAAGCGAGATATATCCAGGAAATGGTCCCCGAAAAAATAGAAGTATCAGGAAAACTCTCGCTATCAAACATTCAGTTTGACCTCCTGGACATATATAATACACAGCTGAGAAGCGACCCAAGCTAAGGCCTACGTCCCCGATCCAAGCCTACGTATCAGATCTGGGACGTAGATAACTGTTTCGGTGAAAATGTAGTTGGAGGGCTACCCATTCAAAAGCTAGTATAACAAGAAATGAACTCAATGAAACACGTTTTGCCGTGTTATATCACGGACATGTCAGTTTTTGAATAAGGGCCTCGTAGGGAAGGAGCACCGCGGTGGGCAAGTTTTCTTTATTTTTTTCTTTCTTTTTGCAGAAGGTAATCATCNCCTCCGGGGGGGGGCCCCCCCCCCCCCCCCAAACTACATTTTCACCACTGTTTCTTACGGTCCACTTCATGGGCCAGGAGTGTAGAGGGTGTGGACCCAAGAAGAATAAATAGAATTAGCAATAGAATTCAAATCATGAACATTCAATTTTCTCAGACTTCAAAGAGGAGTAGAACCCCGGAGAGAGATTTTCCAGACGCTTGGGAATGCTTTTCCTGAGCGGATGGGAGAAAGCGTAGGAAGCTATGCTTATCTTGACCCACGCGTAACTGCTGAGTTGCTCTCTCGGCTTTTTTGTTTTTCATCTAGGAGCTGCCTATTCTGTTGGAGCCCGGGCTAGTAGAGATGGTATTCAAAGGCCAAGACAATTCGCGAACTGGTCATCATCAGAGACCATTGTTGTACCGATGGTTCCACTGATTATGGATGCAACGGGAAACGAATAGCGGCATTTAAAGGACAGAGAAACGAACCGTACTCGGGAAGATGCACGAGTTGGAGAACGATGGCTCCATCTAAACTCGAGCTTCCTTGCTATCGGCTCTAAGTCACCTCCCTCCCCTCAAGAAATCTGTCGAGTTCTTTGTTGGCTGCTGTGTAGATGGATCGTTACCCTGCTATTCGACAATATGTTCTTGGGTATACCTTTGATTTTGTCTTGTCCAAAGCAACTACTTCAAATGGATAGCTAAAAACTGAGAAACCGAAATTAGCATTTTGTTTAAATTTCATCCACCTGGGACCTCTCCCAATCGGAAGTTGCTGTGAAGGTGCATCTGCCTGGCCTGAAAAAGCAGAGAAACTCAGTTGCCCCGATTCCACGGCCACTTTATCCGCCTTTCTTTCAGAACAGTTCCGTAGGAAGAGGTCTCGTCCGGGTTTTCCTTACGTACACCATTTGTCATCCTCGTTCTAATACAGCTGGAGCAGCTTTCGTGGTAGAATGGGGTCATGCTGACTCATGCTCGTCAGACTAACTGGCCAGAATGGTTTTCTTATGAATGGCTGACGTATTCCACGATCTTGTTTTTGTGCGGACAGCTACAGGATTCGGGCTGAAGGTAGGAAACTAAATTTTCGGCTGAAAGCTCTGACTGAAATGATAAGAAATTCCGTGTTCAATTCGCTTTTATTGAAACTTCTGGTGGGAAAAGGGCAACATCCAGGAGCACATAGTCCTGGAAATCCAAGATGGATCTGTATCTGCCCAAGTAGACAAAGCCATTCATCCTTCATAGGTCGGTTGATTGGTACCAGTCAAATCGGAGGGATAAAGAACCAATTTGTATCGTATAGCCGTCAGCTCCTGAAACTCATTGTATTGGACACATACAAATCAATCGACTCAACAATTCCAAATGAAAATAAGTGCATTTGCGTATACCAAAAACATTATTAATCAACGCCAAGAATTCCCAACTTGCCCTTAACAGCCTCGTTATTGAAATTTTTATTTCGGTCACATCCTTACTCCCCGTATGAAAGTCCTTGACAAATGTTGTTGCGGGCAACTTTCAAAATCGACGCTTGACGCTTGATGACCTTACAGTCCTGGATCGACATGTATCAGCTGTTACCGAATAGTATAGTATTTCAAAAGTGTTGTTCATCTTCTACTTCAGGCCAGTTGGAGAATTTATTTTTCTGATGGGAATCTATCGAAACAGATGAGCTCTTCCGAGGCTATATATCACTGAAAGAACAGAATCATGATGGGAAACTATTCGAGTGGCAGTACATCAAAGATTTCGTAAAGGGAGATAAGTTGGTATGATACTCCCGGCCTAACAGGAACAGGATGGTTCTGACGCGGTGCCAGTGGATCATTCGGATCCAAAGGTGGCTATGAACAAACTCGGGAGTAACATTCATTGCTATCAGCTACCATTGCGCTTCATACATTCTCTACCCGGAGAAAGGAGGTACTATTCAAGTGGCAGTACATCATCTGTGGGGGTGCCGTTTCGCTAGAATTAAGAGCGATTATGAAGGACACGTTCACCTTCAAATTCACTTATCAAATTAGCCAAGTGGAACCCTTTACAAGTAATACTGTAGGCAAGGGTAGGAGAGATAAGTGTAGGAAGTACCAATCCAATCGCTTAAGAATGGAATCCCGTATTGCTCCCCAGAATAAGTAGTCCTCTCACCTCACCCGGTTAGCTGAGTGGCTTGTTCATTAGGAAATCCCACAAGTCATTGTAAGGGCCGCCTGTCCTTTAAAACGCCACTATGGCTCCAGAAGGAGGTCAAATGCCTGGCGCACACCAAAACGACATGGGCCAGCTTGAGAAATTTTACTCAATATTTTTCACTGTGACTACGGTTGACTTTATCTGGAATATGTAAAATGTAGAGTCTTGTAGTCAGTTAATTCCCTTTTGTACTGTAAGAGAGTGTCTGTCGGCTACGGTACGGTGAATATTTCATGATGTTATTTTTTGTTTATTTAAAATCGCTATACACTATATATGGCAGAAATTTTATAAGATTTTAATAAAACCTGCTCTGACATTTCCATTTTAAATACGTTCTCTCGAAGGTCACCCTAAAACCAATCAAAACATTTCAAAAAGGCATACATATTTTCTATCCATCATTTGTTCAATTCATTTTTTATTCCACATTTGATTAATTTTTTTAAGTTTGACAAAGCCCCGAAAAAAACTATCTGTGTATGTAAAACTGCTTTGAAACGAGCACTTCCAAGAGATACAGGTGGTTTTGACTTTTTCCCAACAAATGACCCTCATCAACTCGTTTCTCACCTTTCACATACGTGAAGCTTGAGAATTCCCAAGTTGCTGCCAGCCGCTGACGTCAGCAACTAGTCCCAGGCGGCGGCAAGCCCCGCCCACCACGTGTGAGCAGGCGGCGGCCAGACCGCGGTGTGCGACGTTCGCGGCGCGCGCATTCTCCGATTAGGCAATCTTTGCTGTTTCTAATTTTGTGCTCGGCATTTCTTTGGCTCCCTAGAGCCCATCCCCACATCCACTAAAGGGATCCATTTGGTTCCGTGGGTCAGGTATAGTCTATCAGGGAAAATTCGCCAAGAACGATTGGTTTTAAGACGGTTTTCACTTCAGCTCCAACAGGAAGCAGCTGGCGGAAAGTAGAAAGCCAAATATTATTATCGGGGTTCAAGCTTCTTCCTTTGTATGAAACCAGTTCGCATACCGCGCTCTGTTATCGATTGTTACGGTAGCGCGGAGGTGTCCTTGAATTTCTTGTCGCATTTCTTGTCTCACATATTTAATCCTACGTTACACCTTTCTCGTTCCATCTTTCTCACGAATAATAATCAAAGTTCCTTTAACTTGTTTGTTTGTTTAGCGTTTTGGTATTTACCGAACGTGTCATTATGGGCCGTGGTGCTGTGGTCCACCGACGGGGCTGCCCGCTTGTACTGCTTGTCAATCTCGTGCTCCAGGTAAGCATTTTTTAATTAAAAAGGATTCTGAACATTAATCAAATACAGGAAGTTGGGAAAATTGCTTATTGTTTGGATTGAATGGGGAAAATATCGTCAGTCAGTCTACTACAAAGGATTGTATATTGTTGTGGCCTCTGGCAGTCCGTATAATGCTTTGAGACTGATTGATAAGGGTTATTCTTTTGCCCAAAACAAGGATTACGATATTTGAAGGGTAATGGTGATTCAGAGAAGTGTTCCCAGTGTGCTAAGCTAGATACTTGGGCATGAGAAGGGGAATGGAAGGACCAGAAAAGATGGTTTCCTTATTAATGCTGTTCATTTCGGTTCTGTGCTCATCTTTTCTTTCTTTCTTGAACTCATTATTTGAGAATGAAAGATTTTAAGCCCAAAATAATCCCCATCATGATGAAAAGGTGACAAGCTATGAAAAAAAATGCACTTTCGGGATCAAGAAATTCTCACATTACTAAGACTCCTATCGTGAGCTATTCCTGTATGTGTTTTTGATTTCAAGATCCTAAGAATTTCGTCACGCTGTTCATTTCCTTTCCCAATTGCTGTGTAAGCTTTTGAATGTATTCTTATATAGTTATACTGTTTCATATGAAACAGTGGTAGCGTTTTTTGGATGGACTTATCTTATCAGAGTTTCTCCACGCTTTGAAAAAACACTGTCGTTATCGCTGTACAGCAACCTCAATGATAAGGCTTATCGGGGTCAGTACATGCTTCCGCCTTCCGTGTTCTAAAAGGTTTAATTGGTCCAATTCCAATAGAAAGGCTTACTGCAAAATATTGATGGCGGTTTCACTCACTATAGCGATTAGCACTTTTTGGTATCATGTCCTTTTGCTAGAATCGCTTGACTTCTTGGATACCGTGTCCTTAGTGGTCTTTCTATAACTTACAAAGGAGCTCTTTGATAGAGATGTACAAGGGAAAGGGAGAACTAAGCGTTTTAGCTAACCATGCTGTTATTTAAATGTTAATCAGTTGTCGCAGAACTTCTAGGTGCTTTCGGATTTGAATGGACAGTGTTATAAAGAGCCATCTCTGCATTGGCTTTTAAAGTTTTCGTGCTAGAAAGATTGATGAAAGCCGCAAATTGTAACAGCTATGTGGGGGCATATCAACTTATATTAGCTGATTTTGATGAGGGCATATTGGTTAGGGTAGTATAAGCGTATCCAAAAGGTATACTTAGGTCCAAATCATCGCTCAATGTTCATCAATCATTCATCAATCAGAGATTCATCAATCAGCTATTGTTGAAAACCCCAGAAACTTTTATAGAGGTGGGATACGGCGGGATATAAAGTGAAGGATTTGCCTGACTTCTATTCTTAATACAATGCTTCTTTCAGGTATGGGTATCAGCAGCTAGTAGCCTACATGATCTAGCAAAATCTGCCGTAATCACGTTCGATCCTCCGATGATACATGACCTCGTCGAAGGCCACAATCGTACCGTGTCGGTATCAATGAGCATTCCTCAAGCGACGTTTATGTCGATGACCTCTGATGAAACATATCGTCTTAGTGTTGGGTAAATAGTATTTCTTATCCAATCTTATCTTCTTTTGCAAATATTTTTGCCTGTCTTTACAGCGATTCTGCTAAGATAGATTTTTTGTTGTTGATAGTCGCTGCTCTGCTAATCCCCACGTATTCGTGGGAAAAATGTCAAGAGTAATTGGGCGCCACTTACGCAAAGTTCAAAAGGAGGAGGTTTTTGAGAAAACGTGCCTTCTGTTTATGATTTTTTTTTCTCGGAGTTCCACTTCTCGTCTGTTTCAACATCAAGACGATGGAGTGAAGAGATGGGGGGTTGTTTTGCATACTCGGGGGTAGGGGTTCTATTTTTACAAAAGCGGTAGCCTGACATAGCCCTTACTCAGATTCCTTCTTTCTGAGGCTAGTACCATATGTAGTCAAACCTTACTACATTGAAATCTTAGTACATGAGGATAGTTTAAAATCTAAATTTATCATAAATGAATTGCTAAGAGGTATCTCGCAAGTATACGTTCTCACTCACTTCGTTCAGATCATTCCATCCTGACATAGCAGCTTCACCTAGTTACTCCGCTGTCGCCAAGTCGTCATTCATGTACAATAACGAATCTAATTTCTACGCTATGGATGTAAGTTTTGTCTACTGGAGCTGAAACTTTAACTGAATAGGAGAGACTATTCTGGAGCGGTTCAGGAAGGTCGTTCCTCCTGTCTCTATAATTTTCTTTGATTGCTGACGACTTTCAGACTGATGTGATAATTCATGGGAACTCACTGGGAAAGACTGGTTTGCGAATGCGTCTGGTACGCGCTGAAAATTGGGACGACGTCGATGAGTCCTGGAAGGTGACGTTTTTCTCATCGTAAGCTAGGTCTCTGCTCGTGTTCCAATTTCTAATGATTACTCGTTGTAAGAAGTTCAGAGAAAAACAATTTGTTGTGGGAAAAGTTTTTTTCGAGATTACCCTCTTAAAACGTAATATTTCACGACTTTCACTAATATCATGCCGTAGTTAACATTCAGAATCAGTCTCTATTTTTGTTCATGATTTCTCCTTTGACATTTAACATCCTTCGACATCATGTGCATGTCCTCTATCATAATTCGATTAAGGTACCGGAGAAGTTAGACGACAACCAGAAGAATTTGCTTGATGTATGGGTTAAAAGAAGTTTGGACTCTGAACGATGGACGCATATTTTTGTGGCGTCGGTCGTGATTTTAATCACAGTAGCGAATATACTGATGGGATGTGAGGTAACCCAAATATACTTTTCTAGCACTTGCCAAATCTTTGTGGAAAATGGCACCATCACCGACTGGAGTAATCTTAGAATTTCAAAATTTTTCAGTTGGATATGAATGTGGTGTACAGTACAGTAAAGAGACCGATAGCCCCTGCGATTGGATTTGCCACACAGTTCGTTGTTATGCCTTTGGTGAGTTTTGCAACGTTTCACATTATGCCCGATATGCTGTAAAGCAGGTGTGGCCTGTGTGATGAATACAGGTATTCTAAGCTTCCTGTAACGAAATTTCATGCTTCAGCTTGCGTACGGAATAGCAAAGACAGTTTTGGTCTCCAGAGGATTATTTTCACTGGCGCTTGGACTTTTTATCACTGGCTGCTCTCCCGGTGGCGGAGCGTCTAACTTTTGGACGCTTCTTCTCGATGGGAACGTGAATCTCTCAGTAACGATGACGTTCATCTCAACGCTGGCGTCCCTTGGTATGTGGTGGTTAATGTGTACTGTAACTTTGCCTTATCTGATTGTCGTTTTATTTATCTATCATTTCAGTGATGATGCCACTTTGGATCTCATTACTTGGAAAAGATTTTCTACAAGGTTTTTCAACGGATTTCAAAATTCAAATTCCTTATGGTAGATTTCGTCCAAGATTTCATTAATATGATGGTTCGAGAACGATATTATTTGTTCTTTGCAGCGAAAATTACCCGTTCTTTGGTTGCTCTTGTCGTTCCACTTCTCATCGGTATTGCTATAAAAAAATGGAAACCTGAATGGGCAGCGAAGGCACGAAAGGTTTGTTGTTTATTTGATCGGAGTCAACTTGCTGTATAGGATGTTGAGAGAACTCAGGCGATACAAAAAGTTCCATATTTATGTATATTCTGCACTTATCCGAACGTTTCATCAATTTTTTGTCGTTCTTATTGAGCATTTCATAGAAATTATTTGCATTCTGGGAAAATGGGTATCTTGAGTTGAGCAAACTTCATGAAAAACCGTCATACCTCTCATCTCAGCGGCCACCTGTACCGGTTTGTACTTTCTGTTCTTTGTAGTTGGAGTTATTCTGCGAATAGCGATGCTGTCAAAGGCATGAACAAACAAAGAACATTTCTAAAAACTCGTTTCTCTCCTGCATCCTCGAGAAATTCCTTCTTCTCAATTTAGTGAATCAAAATTCAAGATGACTGTTTCGTCATCAAGACGGAATGTTAGTCGAAAAGTATGGAAATGCTTGTTCTAGATGATTCGAAGGAGCATTACTGTAGTGTCGGAAGGGCTCCCAAAATGCTCCCCCTTTCCCCTTCATTGTAAACTTACTATCGAAGAGTGTTATGGGTTAGTCTACAATACGAATCAAATCAGTCGTGAGGATTTCGTTTGCCACATCTGTCACTTCCAGGAAGAGGCTTCGTCAAGTCTCAGATCCAAAACAATGAGCTGCATAGGCTCTTACTAGCCGTACGCTTTTCGGAGGCGTAATTAATCGGGTCGAGGGGAAGTTGTAAAGTAGAGGAAGTTAATCACTCTTTGTTTTTGACCTTCTTAACACTGCTTCACTATACAACATAAGCTAACGGGTTTGTAAATAGAAGTAAAGGAAGAAACGTAAATCGCGGTCATCTGGACAGACTGACATCTGGACTAAACAGAACGCTCGTCTTTGCTCGACCCTAGTTCTGACAGTGGCTATTTTTCCACCAATAGCTTTTTTTGGAGCTATACCTTCAGCCTCCTCTCCTTAATGGGATTTTCTCACCGTTTCTGTTTGTTTTATTGAAAATGTCTTTTTCAATATGGTTTCCTTCATGTTTTCCTGATGTTAGCTACCAAATTTCTAAGACAGGGGCATCTGACTGAACTCATAAACTCATGGTTAATGGATGTTCCACAACAATTAGCTGTAATAAGTAAGTGGTGAAGCTCGCACTTGCGCTGAAGGCCATGTTGGGAAAACTGGGCTCTTAATTGGGGTTGAGTGCAAATGTAACTGAGCAGAAACAAGTTCCAGGGGAATCAAGCATAAAAGGAATTCTAGAAAGTTCAAACACGAAGCATTTGCAAGCTTGCTCTAGAGGAGGTAACATGGAAATACCTAATCAGCAGTCCGTAGTTTCCAGGGAACTGTAGGCCATCCACTTCCTGAGTTGATTGTGAGAGATTCATCTGCTTCTGCAAAGGTAATCACTTGCAAGCAGCTTCGCCAACCTTCACGTTGATTTTTGTTTACGATTGCCGCACATCTGCAATAGAACCCTGTAAATGTGAGATTCCTCTACCTGAAAACAGGAAGTAACATAAGTGCTCGGAGAGCTTATTATTGTAAAGAGAGTGGTTGGCTCATTTGAATGGATTCAGTGTGTGGTCATAGATAGCACCCATAGAAATACTATTAGGGTGAAGTTTTGTCACGGAGAGTGCCTTAATAAGCACCTAAAAATAATATTCAATCAGAATTAGTCTATTTCGGAGAGAATGAAGTGCCCAGCGTTGATTCATCACAAATCGGGAGCGCATAAGTCAAAACACTTGACTATTTAGTTTTACAACCTAACGAGTTAAAGAGAGAATTTGTAAACGATAAAATTTGGGTTCGAGTTCGAAAGTCGAAAAAAGGAAAGTTTAATCACTACGGTAAAATGAGTAGATATACTCCCAACAGTGGAGTCGGTCCAAGCTGCTTAGTGTATTCAACTTTAAAATGTTTAGTTTTACGAATGTAGTTTCAATCCAACTCAGTTTTGCCACTTAGGCTTATTTCATAGAAAAGGGAAGGTTCAACGTCATCTACCTGATGCTTTTTTAGGTTATGAGACCGTTCATCATTTTTGTGCTGATATTCGTAGTCGTATTTGGTGCCATAACAAATCTGTATATGTTCAAGATGATGACAGTGCCAGCTTTACTGGGGTGAGTTTGTTTTAAAGAAGTTATGGGGCCACACTGATTTATTTTGGATTGAGGCTTTCTTTTTTACATGTACCTTTAAGAGTCTCCGGAAACATTGTTGAGAATCTACGATTGGTGGCATTACTTTCAGAGGACTTTTACTGCCATGGTGTGGTTTCATGTTCGGCTGTTTTGTGTCGATTATCACACGCCGTGCCCCACCTGATGTGACTGCCATCGCCATAGAAACCGGCATACAGAATACTGGCATAGCAATATTAGTGTTGAAGGTAATCATAACTTTTATAATCATTAGTTATGAGCGAGGTAATGTTGGGATATAAGTTGGATTTCAAAAGAGTTGAGTCTCAGGGGGCGAAACCTCGGAAAGGGAAAGGGTGAATGTAGGGGAACGCCTTTCATATAAGTAAAGGAGAGTCAAGGGTAGTGAGAAAGTTTTTTTTGAAGCCGTTTTGGCCATTCCGTAGGTAGAATTCTGTTTAGGCCTGCTTGCTCGTTAAGTAATTCGGTCAGTGCAGGTCGTGTAGACATCTGTAAGATAGTTTGCTACAGATTAGTACAGTAACCTGTAATTTAACTGATATTCTAAAAAATGGATAGACTTGAAAAGGATTTGTTCATATCAGAGCCAGCGTTGTAAGATTGCGGAACCGCGATTTCTAAGCGATTCATAGTAATCGAACGCCATCGAGGTAATGCTTCAAGAAGGCTCTGAAGGCTTCCACAGATGATTTGTGTCTTATAAGTAACCCTTGGCAACCTCTTAAGTCTATCAACCTCAGGCTGAGGCCACTCATTCGAAATGGTTTTACTAGTGATCGTAGTTAATGCGATAGCAACAGTACTGTAGTTCCGACATTGTTCTTATCACAAAGTGTCTACATATCTAGGTTAGGTTATTTTTCATTGAAACCAAAGAGGAGGCAGTTTTTGCCAACCATTTATACTTTATGTGATGTTTCTGTATGCTTCTCTGAACACTTCATCAAAAAGTGTGGGTGGGATCGAGGCATTACTCAAGTCCTAGCAAAGACATCCATTCCCACTGACTAGTGAATAACACGACAGCAAGTGTGGTTTCGAGAAAATATCCCTCATATTCGCGTGGAATTAGTTGCTGCATCGAAATATGTAATGAAGGTTGTGGGCATACGACACGAAACCACCACATTACTAATGAAGAGCTTGAGGTGAGGAAATTGGTCAACGGCGTTAATGGATCACGCGATTGGTGAATCCATTTCCTACGAAAAGGGTCTTAATGGCTTTCGTTAGAGAAATGGTAGCTTAGTAGCCGAAGCCAATTCAAAGACCAAAGGTGTTGGTTCTTGGAGGCTTATCGTAAAGTTGATGATGGATTACGTTATCGCGTTTCCTGTCTCATTAATGCGGTAGGTACCCATTCCTTCCCGGTCCCATTCAGTGGGACGGAAAAAGCCTGTAGGGTTATATCCTGGGATTCGAAATGCTATGCAAAACTTGGTTGTGAGGTCAATAGATGGGAGGAAGCCCTTGCAGTCGAGTCTGGGAAGTTTGCGGCTCTCGTTTGAAGTGGAGGATCGGCTGGGCATAAGGTTGGCAGTAGTACCTTACAGGATCTACAAAGCGCTACTACTGCTAGACGGGGATGATAGGTAGCAATGGCGACAGAGACTCGGATATTATCTAAAAAAACTAGGCGAAAAGAAAGAGACAATGAAATCTCACGAGCGACGGCTGCGGGTGTTGCCCCAATTGTAGCGCGTGTAACAAACCCGTTGTGTGTCAATCCTCTCATAGATCTGTTGCAAAAGAAAGCATCTATTGTGCACACCCAATGTTCTGTGGGGCACGGGGGTGAGGTGAGGGAGGTTACCCTTTCAGTTCTCTCACAGCGCTGATCTGTTAATACAACTCGGCGAATGCTGCTGTTGGTATTGCCTCAGTTATGTACATCCTCACAAAGTACCGTGGTATCACTCACATATGTGTCTGTATAGAAGAGTGGGCGGTACATTCGGATAATCAGCACGAAAGTTGGCCACGTCGAAGACAACTGTGTTGCCAGAACTGCCTACTCTGATTTGTTGAGGATGATGGGAGAAGAAAAAGGGTTGAGGAAAGATAATCTAGCGGGTGGTAGTTGATGATCCTTTATCACGGGCCATCGATCGTAGGAAACATGCGTTGCCAACAAATCTCCGCACGCAGCGAGAAAATCGGGATAGGCAAACATCGGTAGTAAAAAGGACTGCCCAGCAGCTTCTAGCAGCATATTCAGTATTTTTAGTTACTTAAATATAAAAACAAATATTCCCTAAGTCTTCCCGAGTTTTTCTTTTTCGCAAAATTGACTTGAAATCATGTATTTCAGGCGTCATTCACTCAGCCTGATGCTGATATCGGAGCTGTGATCCCAGTAATTGCCGCGTGTTTCACACCAGGACCACTACTGCTTGGAGCGGCAGTGCATTTGGTCCTGAAGAGGCTGAAGAAGAGAACGGAATCAGTAAGTAAACGTTGTTCTTGTTGGACCATTTTGAAAAGGTTAGAGATCCAGCCAGGTTTCAGTCAATTCTTTCGTGGTTCCATTGTGATATCATTAATTGAGATCCTTGATATTAATTTCATTCTAGTATGACAATAAGGTATCCAGGGGGGGGGGGGGGCACTCGGATGGGATCTAATCCGCAACCCGCATAGGTGATAGCAGCATTTTTGCCTCTGTAGCGCTTCTAATGCATACTCTTTTCACTATTTTGAACATTTGACTACTTGTTTACAAAATTACTTCCGTAATGGGAAAATAGACTTTACAGTTGAAGGAGGTACTGGCAGACGCGGATCAGAAGCCTGATGAAATGCTGTCGTCCATGTCATTGTTGCAGCAGCCCGACGTTGAGCCGGAAAAGCCGGTTGATCCAGCTGCTATAGCTTCTATAGCCTGAATCCCAGCATTTCCTTCAAATTTAAAGCAGATCCCACCTCTGGCTGTTCTACTTGTAGACAAAATGTTTCTCAAGCAGTTAATGAGTGATCTGTTAGGAAAGATACATAGCCAAATGGCAATATGTTCTTTCATATTTTATTGTTTTCGATCTTATGTTTGTTTTAATCTCCTCCAAAACAGAATACCAAATATTAGTTGTATTTCGTGAGCTTTATTATTGGTCGTGATGTAATGAGCCGGTGTTTGTTCTCAAAAATATAGTTCAAAAGATTGTTTTATTTGTATAATTTTTATAATAGACGTTTGTATAATTATGTCGTTGCCCAACATATCTTGGTGGGTTTTAAGATTGAGCAGAAATGCTGAAGAGGAATGAAGATTGTATGTTGCATGTGAAATCTCGTTTCAGAGGGTGATTGCCTTTGAAAATCCTTCAAAGCATGTGGCGACCAAATACAGTCACAAACTGGTAAAGTTTTGGGGTAACTCGTCCCCTTGTGGGAGGTTCTTCCTCTTTCATAAATTTGGACTTGCAGGTGGTCCTAGCGTCCATATAAAATGTTAAGCAGCGGCATGGCGTATCCTTAATTGCTCGGTCGAAACGTATACTTTGTGTAGCATGGCATTTTCTACTTCATCCTGGGATACGCCATGCATTTGGCTTCCATTGAAAATCACAAAGGGACTTAATAAATACAATAACCATAACATATAAAAACTCGTGGGGCCAGTAGATGTTACTGTCAGTGTTTCACTGTTATTATACAGCTCTTCCCAGATAACCCACCTTTCCAGGGGGAATAAATCCAGGATTCTATGGACGGCTGAAAGTGTAGTAGTGGCGCCACTTATCACCAGTCTACCGCCACAGAATTGTGTTTTGGTGATAAATGAAACTGATTTTGGCGAATGGAATTGGTTCCGTTGAACCGATAACTTGAGTTCCGATTCAAAAAGGTTGATAATTTGGTCACAGATCGATAGTGGTAATAGCTATGCGTCAACACAACATACGTGGCAGTTGTGTAAGCAGCTGTGGGGGAGCAAGCAGTCTGTGAGCTTTTTTTTCGTGAGTATTTACTACACTTACAGGGGAATAGTAAAAACGGACGCAGTGTTGAAATGTGCCAATTTTCGGAAGGCTAGTCTCGCTTCAAACAGCTACAAACTCTTCCGACCAAAATGAGTGGCAAAGTGGTATAAAGCACCACTGCCATCTGTACGATCCGTGGATCGAATCCTATTCGAGCCACCGAAATACCCATCGTTCGGAAGTGAGTTCTTCAGCACTGCGCTTATTAGGATACGGATGTAGACTTCAGCTAACCCAAAGTATCTTCCAATTTCTCGATCCTGAGCTAAAATCTCATGGGTATGCTCGGACAGAGGGTTCATCGCTCGCATTACCTATTCGAAGGATGCAGTTTTTTTTGGATTGCGCCATGCGTTTGGCAAGGGATTTGCTATGTATTCATTTTTAGCCATTTGACCAGCTGGATGAGCAGGTGGTTATCCTTTTCCCTGAGAAGGCAAACCCAAAAGATTTGAGCACTTTAATTTCTTCCAGTCTGTTACTGCACGTCTAATTACTCCATCACCTCCACTTTCTGTATAGATTTTTTATATGAAAGCTCTTGTTCTCTGGACCTGGCGATCTTTCCTTTCTGTGGTGCAAAGTGAAACCTTCTCATGCTGTTGTTTTTCCCCACTGATGCGAGCTGAACAAACAATGGTCGTGGGTAAAAGGGGCAATACACGGAATTGCTGGAAAAGCTGAACAATCTAATAATGACGTGTCATGGAACGCTGAAATTGTTTTTGCAATGATCACGTCCACTGAAAAAAAGTGGAATTTCAATTTGTCTGGCATTTTGACCCACAAGTCATCGTAGAGATCACATAGTTGTTCATTAGTTGTGACAAATTTGAATGAATCCCATATGTATGGCGCACTCTTCAATTTTTAGAGAAGCGCAATCTCTACTCAGCGATACTTGGCATGACAATTTTATTTATAACACACAAACATCAAACAATACCTGCTTCATAAAAGACGAGCTATTGCACCAAGAAAAGACATAGTACAGATGCACCTCTATTAGCACAGAAGATCTTATTCAGGTCAATGGAGAGGCAAAACTAACCACTCTGACTACGATCTTGATTGTTGTATTGTAAACAGAATTTGCACTAAATTGAAAGTGATTCTTCAAAAACTGATGGGGAAAAATTCAAAAATTCAAGATAATCTCAAAGTTTTGGTCATAACATTTAATACACTTAGAATGATGCAGCATTTCAAACTTTGTACCGTAGGCACTGTTTGATGTGAATTTACAGCCCGTAAAAATCATTATTAATATCATACTGTATTAAGCCTTGATATCGATCGATCCGACTGGGTTACGAAAGCTATGAGGGAAAACGCGGAACACTACGCACAAAGCACAGATCGTGTAAAGCTCTCAAGAGTGACTAATACTAAAGTGGAAGGAATGCCTGAAGACAGCAACAACAAAGACACGAATTGAAAAACACATGAATGACTTGAATCTCAGAGTTTTGTACACAAAATCGCTGTCTATAAATGACGTTCACCAATTGGCAAAGAAAAAATCCTAGCAATGTACTTACAATCTAACATGCCTAGAAATACTACAGAATTTACAAGGGTCCTACTCGATTTTCTCAGATAAGTCATCATCTATTACTGCTCGGCATCGTAGTTGCTGCAGTCTAGAATAGAATTGATGAATCTATCAAATTAAGAAGCAAGCTACAACGCAGCACCCCCCAAAAATCCTAAAAGAGATCAAATCAATCTTTTGCAGACAAAAGGGCGTCTCCAGATGTCAAAGGTAACTCTAATAGCCGCACAGAGTGCCTATCCGCCGATAACTAGTGCAAAGTAGTCGGTACGCAGTATGTCCCGAAAATGGGAAGGCGATGCTCCCAAGCTTAAGCATTGCACTGTTTGACCATTCAACACCCCCACCCCCACCCTTTCGGAAGGACATCACCTAGTCTATTCTTTTCTAATAGTGTGTATTCAAACTCAAATGCAATCTTTATATATCTTTATAGCATTTTGGAACAATACTCTGGTATTTGTTTCCCAAGCAAATATATAAATAGAAGGCGAAGGAAAACAAGTCACAATGTAGAAGCCTACTCACCTCTTCAGTATCTGTTTCCTTACTGGGCTAGTGATCTGTGAGAACACGCAAACGATTGTTGCTGCGGCGAAGAGGACATTGTACGCCAATACTAGTTTGAAATTACTCAGCCACTTAAGGGATGAATAGGCGCCGAGCAAATCGAAAGACGTTATACCTGTAAATGATGTATATTGACGACCTTTAGAGGCATTTGGAACAAAACCAATACAAGCAACACAAACCAAGCGTATTTGCAAGAACAGGAAGCGCTGAGCTCAATACTAATACCAGGCTACAATTGATGATGATCACCGTGAGGGAGGTTCGAGCACGTTGAGGTCGCAGAGCACGGACAAACGGCATCGAGTAGAGACCGGTGAGTGAAGTCGACATTACATACCTGCAACGTGAATCTTAAGTGTATCTTTAAACTTACTGATCTATTTTACCCAATCAACCCCTAAAGTTGGGTCACACTATTTCTAGATGAAAGGAAAAAAGTTAAATGTATTCTATGCAGTAATCTGGACTGATATGCCCTGCTTCGTTTCCGTTCTCATTTCTCAGCAATCTGATGACTGATGTGACTGATGTCATTACGCATTATGTAAAACTCGGATCCGGGAAACGTCACTTCGAGCGACAGATGGAATTCTAGGTATTTACATGATGCTACCGCGCATGTTCAATCAGATCAACAAGAAATATGAATCATCAAGCACTCATGGACTATCGTGAATCACTTTTTGCCAGCAGAATGAAAACTAATGCTTCATCTGAGAGGAATCACCAACCGTTCGGAAAGGCCATACTCAGAATGAGGGATTAAATGACATTTATGGGAGCTAAATCATAACTCGTCCGAGTTAGGTCATACGCACGACTAGTAAACAACCATCAAAAGCCGAAAGCCATGAAAGAAAAACTCACATGATCGTAATACTTTCGATGATCACTCCGACAATACCGAGCGAATGCCTTGTATGCACTTCCATATATTGGGCGTAGGCCGGAAGACTACGAAAACCAAACACCAGCTTCAATGAATTGATCACCACCATCAACAATGATATACCCTGAAGGCATAACGAATGGATCCAGCAGTATCTTAAATTTTCGGAATCAGTAGTCTCGATTAGAGGAAACCTACCGTAAGCGCAAGCAGACTAATCACTATCGCCGGATATTTCACAATACGAATGAAATGTCTGCAGAACCGTAGGGATTTTTGGTGTAGTGGATTCAGGATCTGAATAGAAAGATAAAAGAATGTTAACTTTCAAAAGAAAAAAAAGAAAAGGGACACAGTAGGAGGTTGGAATGATCTAGCCGAAGAGAGTGTTTATAGTTATAGTGTGGGAATAAACGTCTCGTGCTTGCACGACGGCGCTTTAAAATCATGTAAAATATCCGTTCTGGTAAATAACTCGGTGGTCGATACCTATGTTCAACATAATTATTGTACATGGTACCATACCTAAAAGTTGCCAGAGCCTACAGCCATAGATTTTAGACCACTACCGGGCAAGGATAGGGTATCAGGTCTATAACATCCATCACCTTAAACCAGTAATTACACTGAAAGCGATGCAAATTTCAATTCCTTTCGACAAACAAAATGGATCGACCATTACGCAACCAACAGCTAGGCCAAGGTGCACCTGTAGACACATCGCCTCGAACTACAGCACTACCAATTTTCAAACCGGAAAAGGTTCCCCCTCTACAAGGGTGTAAAACAAAGCTTCTGAGCTGGAACCCTCCGCAACGCAAACGGAGGAGAGAGGATATTATGAAGGGACACATGTCATGGCGGCAGAAGCATCCATTTCCGTAACCTGCCCCCAAGTACAGCGTATCTGTTTCAGTGTCACTCTTTGTATTTCAATCAAAGAAAGAACTCGAAAGATATTCTATCTCAAATAAATGAAGATTTGAGTAAAGTTTGCTTATAAGTAACATTACTGTAAATCAAAAACTAAAGAAATAAGTGAGGCATACAAATTAACAGCAATAATCATGAAAAATGAAGTTGAACTTCAAAATCTGTAAAACATGTCTTCAACGTAATTCTGTTACTAAACATTTGAAGGACACCCGAGAAAAAAACACGGGAATTTATGTACCTGGTCGGCAACGATCTGAGGCCGTACTGCTCGTCCATAGCTCACTGAACGTGATTCTTCAGATGAGATGTGGGTGTTATCGCTCCATTCAGTCGATGCTGATGAAGTGTTTGACTCAGGAGCGAAGCCGTAAATCGAAGAAGAGAATAAATAACATTTTTCGCTACAATCACTTCTAGTATTGAATCCTAAAGTAATTACAAAACATGATACTTATGCAGCTCAGCTTTCAATACAGAAGACAAAAAGTTTTCGAAATGCATACCTATTGGAGTCATTCGGAACGATCTTAGACGCACTGGCGAATAGCCGTGTGATGCTGGTGAATAGAAAGGTGACATAGCTTCTGAAACACAAACGAAAGTTTCAAAGCGGAAACACCAAAGCAGGACAAAATCAGCTTTGACACCATGCAGTACAAAAATGAGGAAAAAATGAGGAAAAAGGGGAAAGCAAAAGAGATTTCGAAAAGGTGATAGCGTACGTCCAAATCTATTTTTAAAAACAGGGAAAGACAAAACAGAGGAAACCTATGGAAATCGGAGTGGAAAAAAGAAACTAAAAATACAACTCTGCCTTACATCCGCGCTCAATTCCCATGAAAAGGTGTCCTAATAAAAGAATAGAGTTGAAACAGAGTGGAAACTCACCGAAGCTGGTCTTGTGAATGTTGTTATTCGTCCCGTATTTACCGGCTTTTCGAGCTTCACAGTATCTCTCCAGGCGATCCATTATTATGTCATCCTGGTCTGGGATCGATATTGAGTTCTGTAAACACAGCCATTCAACATAAAAGTCAACAGACAGTTTATACAAAAAGTGTCACTCCAAAGTTGTAAGCGATCGCCCAAAAGCAACATATGGCTCCTATACATCTTCTTCAAATATCTGAATACTAACCATAGTCATTTCACCAACAATACCAAACATTTTTGCAAATCCAATCGGAGTCGATAGTAGTAATAACATCACTCCGGCAAATGATACAAAAGAGTAGATGAGTGGCAGATTTACAGATGTTATACTGATAAGGGAGACCTGTAATGGCTGAAAGGACCAGTTTAGTAGAACTTCAACATCACCAAACAAAATTTTACAGTTTTTTTTCGCAAACTATCCTCATAAACGCCCGTCTACGAACTCTTGGAGCAAGTATAAATCACAACTTGGAACTCTAGAAAAAGAACCTCACCGATGACGATATCAGCGTCAACACTACATCCACAAGGCATAAAACAACTACAATGAGCAACGCGCACACTGCAAGCGTCTCATAAACTCGCTGCATGATACCCTGAACACAGCAAAATTAAAAGAATACCAGTGAATGGAGAATTGCGACTTTTGCTCCGCATGCAATGAAATGTCGCCGAATGGTTTTTGCGAAGTTGCCGAGGGGCTATATCGCTTTCTAGGTTGCAGTGAATCTTGTTCTCTCTTCACCAATGTGATTGGGTTGGTCCTGAGAGATTAGTACTAAGCTCTACCACTTAGCGATATCAAACTAAAGGCAAGTTCGCAAAAGCCACAAGGAAGAAATATAGAAATATAAATACAAGTACGAGGAACAAATTTCGTTTAACTGGATTCTAGCAGAAGAAAATGTGCTTGAGCCACCACTCACATTTTTGTTCTTACTGAAGCCTTGCGATTCAATGAAGAAATAGCTAAATGGTAACAAGACGAAGAGACTGAGATTTGAGAGTGCAAACACGTAGTTCCATAGGCTGTTTATTAACGACCACGACATCCACTGAAAGCGATAGTAAAAACAGGGCATGAATTAGAGTAGGAAAGTGAATGTAACTGAAAGCGATACACCCCTGAGAACCGGAAACCATGCAACCAGCA